CCGGCGGAGCCAGAGTCATTAGTCCTCCATAGAGGCTGTGCGTCGACCGCGCGCGCGGGCGCGGTGTCGCGGAGGTCCGCGGGCTGAAATCACGGCCAAAATTGGTTAAATGGTCGTATCAAAGCAAGCTTGATGATACTCACGCGTTGATTGCACGTTTGCGAAGACTTTTTGCGCGCGGTCGCTGGTTCGGGTCAAGAAATCGCAAGATTTAACTTCAACAAAAGTGCTGAAGTTCAACAAAAATGTTGACTTTTAAATCCAGGCTATCAGAATCCGAGTTTTGATCACTTCACTGCAGGGTCGCAATCGAGCTCCCAAGGTCACTTTTGGACGGCTCAGCAGCCCCGAAAAGAGTCTCCTAGAAGGTAACTTGCCGTAAAGTTGAAGTAAAAATGAACCTAAATGTGCCAAAAACAACCTCCTAACGTTCAAATTGGGACATCGGTGGCTCTGAGCGCACACTTCATATTGAGGGAGATGCGCACCGTAACATGAGTGGCCCGCATCGTGTATGATATGTATACGTCGGGCAATGAGCATCACCGCGGCCCATTTCCTAGACGGGAGCCGCGCGCCTAGTCCGAGTCGTCGCCGCCGCCGGGAGGGGGCCACCGCGGCGGCGGCCGGGAGCCGAGGCCGACCTGGACGCCGTCGACCTTGAAGGCGACGTGGTGGTCGATGGCGACGGTCTGGAGGGCCGTCGCGACGCCGCCGCAGCGGCCGCGCGAGAGGAACTCGGCGACGGAGAAGGCCCGGGCCTCGCCGTCGCGGAACCCCTCGCAGCAGCGGAGCGAGATCTCCGCGCCGGCGTGGACGCAGCGCCGCGAGTCCGGGGGCATGGCGCGCGCGAAGGCCTCGAGCGTCGGGAACGCGTCGGCGGGCGTCGGGTCCTGGGGCGACTTGAAGAGGTCCCGGGGGTACGTGCCGGGCTCGAGCGGCGCCGCGTCGCCGACGAACGTTCGGAGCGCCGCGAGGACCGGCGGCGGCGCCCGGACGCGGAGCAGGGCCTTGTGCTGGAGCGCCGCGCGCGAGTAGAGCCAGACCTGGGCGGGAAAAGGGCGCGAACTTCCCA